ACTCTTGACTCTTTTCCTGCCACATCTATGTATTTCAACTATGTCGTCGTGAAATTCAGAAGTCTACGTGGCAAATCAGTTTTCTCATGCTACTTGTATAATTGTTCTTCGTTTTCAACAGTTCGACCATGATGTGCCCTGATTTCCTTCAGGTCTATTCTAATCAAATTTGGTGAGCTTGGTGGGCCTCTAAGCTAACGGCCTTTACCAGCCTTGAGGAATTCTGGCCAACATTTCTCCAGTTAATTCTTCTGCCTTCTTTTTTCTTTCATTCCTCTGGTACTAATAGTACACATCTGCTGAATTACTTGATGTTCTGTGACTTGGGTTATTTTTTGTTCATCTTTTTGAATTTTGTTATTTGGATTGGCTACTATTTCATGAGCAACCATCGAGTTCACGGATTGTTTTGTTTTCATCTCATAACTACCGTAGAGTACATTCAAAGAATTTTCATTTTATTACTATACTCTCCAGCTAGAGTTTCCATTTTTGATGGGGTGTCTTTTTCTCTGTTGAGATTATCTCTCCATTCACTAACTCCATGTTTTTCTTTCATTCTTTGAACACGCTGTCCTCAGTATTTTAATATATTTATAATGGTGGTTTGCGGTCTTTGGCTACTAGGTCTAACATCGGGGTTTACTTGAATCAGTTTCCATTGCATCTTTTTTCAACGTATTCATCTGCTTTCTCTCTCGCTCATTTACTTATTTACTCACTCATTTTTGCATGTCTGGTAACTTTCCTTGGAAAACCGGTGCTGTGTCGTGGCTCCTGGAACCCGTCCTGCCCTCTGGCTGACCGCTGCAGTTGCGGCTCCAGCAGGTGAGCTTGCCTGGGCTGCTGGTCAGGCCGCGGCGGGTAACCCTGCTGCAGAATCTATACCAAGGTCTCCAGAGCGCCACTAGACACCCTAGGATTTGGTGAATTTAGAGAGTCCAAGTTCGGAAATTTAAAACTGTAATCAAGAATATTTTTCCTAAATATGTCATTTTGAGTTATGTGAAACTTCTAGGTTTTACTAACCCACATAATTCAGGTGTAGCAGCAGAATGCTGAGTCTCGCCTTGTTGTAAGTACAAATCTGTATTTGAGCTAATGAGGATCATCAGAAGCATTTGAAAAATCATTTCAAAAGCTGCTGCAGATATTTAGTTAAAGTGAAAAATCAGGATTCTAAAATATATCATAATTTTAAAAAAATTAGACTCTACTTAAGCAATAGTATAATTTTACTTTTCTGGGTTAAATCATTTTAACTAAGATACCAGGCTTTTTTTTTTTTTTTTTTTAGATTTTGCCACAGGGCATGTACACTGGCCAAAGAGACAGAGACGGTGAGAGAGAAAGTGTGAGAACATCTCCCAGTGACACTGCCGCTCCTTCTCCTCCGTTCTCCTCCCAGGATCTGGGGCATGCACGCACACTTCCTTGGCATGATTTTCAAGCTACCAGGTCTGGGATTTGAACTGCAGTAGGCCATATGAGAGCCCAGTGCCTTAATCACTACACGACCTGCTGGCCTCATATAAGGGTAGTATTTTAATGGAATTCATTTTAAATAAAACTCTTAAAGAATCTCTAGGTACAACTGTAATATAGTGAAACGCGTGGCTTAAAAACAGGCCGTACTGGGACTAGCAGATGGCATGGTGATTAAGGCACTAGACGGGCCCACCTGGCTGACCACAGTTTGAGTCCTGGACCTGGTAACCTGCTTTTTCACTTTCTTTCTTGTTTTTTCCTTTTTTAAAAGCCTGGAAACAGGTTAGTATTCTGTTCAAATAGTAAGTACATGAACCTGTTGACAGCTCAAGACAGGACGAAAAAGCCTAGAAGAAGAGTAGCAATATTTTTGTCAAAAGTCACTGAACGCTGTTTCGCCATTTCAGTCTCACGGCCTTAATCTGTCTCCTGTGTTGCGCCCTCTCTCTCTATCCCTCTTTGGTCAAATTAGAAAATGAATGAATGAATAAGTAAAATAAAATAAATAATTATTAAAAAAATACCATATCATGTTGCACAGGCTTAATACTCACTTAGTTCTCACAACACACCATGCTTCTTCTAAAACATAGTAATTCACATGTAACTCCAACAAACTGTCTCGCACTTCTTTCGCCGATTTTCGACTATATGCAGAATAAACTATTTTTGTCCGGGCCCTTAAAGTTAAAGGACAGGTTAAAAGACATTAAAATGAATGACGTTAAAATGGACTAAACAGATTTCAGCACAAACTGAAAGCTCTGTACTCACTAAATGGAGCGTGGACATACATGACCCAAAACGGTACACGCTATTTTGGGGACAGCAGTTTCCATATCCCCACTTACACTCTGCAGGTCTAAAGCTCACGGCAGTTTGAAATTTTCTTACAGTTCTTGTCTGAGCAGAAATTAGTCGAGGGCTATACCGGTGGCAAGGTAATAGCTCAAGGTATAAACTGTGCTTCGCATAACTCACAAAATAATTCCTCTGCTCTTGGAATACATTCTCACAGGGATGAAATGTAATGAAAACACAGATTTCATTAGATAACTTTATCTGGAGAAGCTCTGAGGAACGCACAAACTGAAGCTGGGTATCTACAGGGCAGAGAGAAATGCACATCCAGGGTGTTAGGACTGGCAGAAAAACATCTGTTTTTTTAGAGAGAGATTTTTACTACAGCGAGCATGTGCTCGCTGGAGAGACAGAGACAGACAGAGAGACAGAAAGTGAGAAATACCCCCTCCCGGGGGGAATGGCCACGCCACAATCCCTTCTCCTCCATTCTCTTCTCAGGATCTTGGGCACGCACGCACACGCACCCGGTGTGTTTTAAGCCGCCAGGTCTGGGACTCCAACTGTGGTCGACTATGTGGGAGTGCAGCGATGTAACCATTACACCAGAAAAACATCTTAACAGACTCTTGAGAAACAGGAACGTTCACCAAAATATGATTCAGGAGAAGATCTGGCCTTACGTAGGAGCTCTTATGAAATCCTGACTGGACTACCATTTATGCTTTAGATATAACTTAGGATTTCAAGCGTTTGCCACATGGAACCACTACAAATAGACATAAAACTTCAGATAATTTGAAGACGTTAACAAGGGTCAAAAATACACTAAAGGAAAAACGTACTCTGACAATTACTGGAATGACCAAAGTAATTTTTAAAAACCAGCCATCTAGGGAAAATAAAAACTTTCAGACCTCAATGGAAAAGAGAGTCCTCACAATCACTTAGCGAAATACCCTAACTTTTCTAAAAGCATGTCATGTTGCAAGTTTCATGCAGACTGTGGTAAGAAAAGGCTAGTCGCTGACCACCAGTAGGAGCTTTGATTTCCTGCATCAGGGGCCTCGTGAAGCCTGGAGCTCAGGTTGGCAACTACGGCCCAGAGCCAAGGGAATTCTCCCTTCTGCTGTTAGGAGTCTTCGTGGAACATGCACATGCACACACACATGCACACGTGTGCACACACAAGAGCTCGCTAAGCCTGCGTCAGAGGTAATAGGTACAGAGACCGGCTGCAGTTACCGGAGCTCTTCAACTTCGCCTGCACGTGAGGACGCGCCACACCTGAGTGTGTAGAACTTTCCCCTCTTCCTAAGAATTGATCGTGACTAACAAGTGAGTCTGGCTGAAGTCACTGGCTCCCACCTCAAGTCTGCATCCTCGTAGTGCGGATGGTTCACAATGGGATGGAGTGTAGACAGCTTGACACTCGCCATGGTAGGCATTGCACCTGCAAACACGGCATCTGGAAGATAGGAGCATGTTCCTTGGCAGCAGGTTTCTTTTTTTTTTGGAGAGGTTTTCGCTATAGGGTGTGTGCGCTCGCCAGACAGACAGAGAGAGACATAGAGACAGAAAGCAAGAAATCACCCCCCAGGGGAGATGGTCAGGCCACAATCCCTTCTCCTCCATTCTCCTCTTGGGATCTTGGGCACGCAGGCACATGCACCCAGCGTGAGTTTTAAGCCACCGGGTCCGGGACGCGAACCGCGGTCGACTACGTGGGAGTCCA